GAGATCACTTCTTAAATTATATAAATGTGTCTGGGCTGACTGAGTGGCACGTTGGTTAAGAGTTGGCTTGGGACGCCAGCGCTGAGCAGTAGGGCCCCGGTTCAGATCCCACATGAGGGCCAGTGATGCTGCGCCCTCTACAGCTAAGATGTTGAACAACAGCTCAACCTGGAGCTGGGCTGCTGTGAATCACCGGCGACGGCATAGGCTGCAGTGGGGCTGGCTAGCAGCTGCTGTGAGCTGCTGTGAGCTGCTGTGAGCCACCGTGAGCAGCCATCCAATGGCCAGCGAGCAACGGCCTCATGCAGGAAGAGCACAATGATGATACCAACATGGGCCAGTGAAGCAACGTCCTCCACAACTAGGCTGTAGAACAAAAGGACAGCAACTTGTCTATTCCCCTTTCCCAATTCCCCAACGCTGTTCCCCTCCCCCAGTTCCCCAATTTAAAAAATCTTTAAAAAAACAAATTATATAAATCGCTAACCACTATGCTATAACCTGAAATTAATACAAAATAATATTGAATGTCAACTATAATTGAAAATTTTTAAAAGGAAGGAAAAGATAAAGGGGACTAAGAGGTTCAAAGTTCCAGGTATAAAACAAATACATCTTAGGGATGTATTGTGATACCATGGTATAGTGTCAGATGGTTGCTGTACTTATCGTGATCACTTCTTTAGCATAGGGAATATAATCATTAATATGGTAATATCTGTGCATAGTGCCAGGTGGGTACTGTTGAATAACTATGATGTACACCAGAAACTAATGTAATATTGTATGTTAGCTATATTTTAATAAAAATCTTAAAAAACAAAATTATGGTCCAAAAAAAGGCAACCATTTAGAATCGTTCCCTGTAATTATGATCACACAGCTTAAACTTCAATTATATGAATAAATGCTTCCCTGGAAAAAATTAATAAATAAATAAAAAGCATCCATCAGGTTTGATAACTAGAAAATGACTTAGAGCAGTTACTGTAGGAGCTAAGGAATTTTCTGTGAGTTGAGGATATTATCAGTATTATTATTTAAGATGGTCACAGAAGTTCTAAACAACTAAATAACGATAAAAAAGAAAATTAAGTATAAGTATTGACAAGGAGGACACAAAATTATTATATGAAGTTGATTGTATTTTTTACACAGAAAATTCAGAAGATGTAATTGAATAATACTGAATACTGATCAGCTAACAAAATGTAAAAATTAGCTTTTCTACATAACAAAGTGATGAAGAGAATAAAATGGTGAAAAATGGTAACTGAAATTAGCAATAAAATATATAATAGCATTTTCTATCTAAAGAGTTTCTTATATGCAAAAGTTTCTTGAAATATTACTAACCTTTACTATATGTCATATGCTATCAGGTTTTCTATTCTATGCCACATATTTTTAAAATTCTTGCTATGACCCCCTAAATTGCTTTTATAATACAACAACTGGTCAGGAGGCGTAATATGAAATAGGCTGTTCTAGAGATCAAGAACAGAAATTGCAAAGAAAATATTAGATATTGACTCACATTCTTTTCCTACAGAGAGTCACCCATCCTTCAAGTGTGTAGAACAAATGACTACTGGCAACACCAAAACATTTTCAATAGGCATGTGGGGATCTTTGTAAATGTTCAAACTCAAAAATTATAACCACAGATCCTAGAAGAAACAACTTTGTCTTAGGAAATTTTAAGAGCAAGAATTTATCTCTACCATGAAAGAACATTAACATGGTTTCCAGGCAGGAAAAGGTTTAGCAGTAATGAGTCCTCAAATAACCACAGGAGTTAACCTTTAAATGAAATGATTTACCATTATCCAACTGGATTCTCAAATGATCCTTTTTTTTCCTTTAGCAAGATTAAGTTTAGCTGCTCTGCCTCCCAGTAATTTCCAAAGTTCAGTTACTTCCTAATGCAACTCCTGAAATGTGATTTATGTCAGCATAAAAGAGGATACAAGTCCTCCTGTTAGGTAAGGCAGAAAGGCACATGTTAATCCAAAAGCTACCTCAAGCAGTTCAGAACACAGCTCTGTCTTACGCCACTAAAAGTAGGATATTTTATGTTATGTTTATGTTTTATACTCCTAAAGTACACCTATTCTCCCAATTCTAAATATCAGTGTGAAGTCTAAAAAAAGAATCATTAAAAGTCTGGGACCGAGGCCGGCCGAGTGGCGTGATGGTTAAGAACTGGCTTGGGATGCCAGAGGGCCCCAGTTCGGATCCCACATATGAGGGCCAGTGACACTGCCCT